CCACACTTGGCTCCCAAAGCCATATTCTATCCTTTTGTTCACATCTTTTTTCTGAATCTACTAGCTCATTCTCCCTTGCTTATAAATATATTCACACCACCTAATCACAAAAATTCTTCCCCTAAATCCTGGTTCAGTAACAACTTTCTCACTGACTAAAAATTGTATGGATGTGACAGGCATTGTCGGGGGCATATGCCTGTAATCCCAGCACTCTGGGAGAATGAAGCAGAAGAATTACAAATCTGAGTGCAGTTTGGGCAATTTACCAAGATCTTGTCTCAAAATTAAGAAAACAAAACAAAAGAGGCTACAGATATAGCTCAATGTGAAGGCTCAGTGGTGGGGGGCAGGGTACACACATGACACACAGACTTCTGGATACAGTTTACACTAGCTGTCTTTTTCAAATTTCCTATTCGTTACATTAATACTATTTTAAACTCCCATTAAAACCAACATCTTTTAAATTGCCAAATCTAACAACTTTTTTTGGTTCTCACATCATTTCTGCAATAACTTTGTCTGTATCTCATTTGGACTGTATAACCTTCCTGACTCCTGCAATTCTTCAAGCACTGCCTCACTATTTTCCCAGTTCCCTTTCTCTGCCCCTAGATCCCCCCTGCCCACTTGGTGACTCAGTAACACCTGATGACTCAGTCAGTCTCTCCAGCCCCAACCCTCCTGAGTTCCACACCTAATTTTCCCTTCCCTCCGCCAATTCCTCACTGCCACAAAGACTAAAATTCAACAATTAAAAAAAAAAAAGCAAAATCAGAAAATTACAAGTTTCTCTCTAGTCCGTTCCATGTATTGCATCCAGAGCTTGCACACAGCAACCACTCTAACTAGCTTCCTACAGAATTGAAATAAAGGCAGCAAACGGCTCCTTGCCAAGGCTTTATATTTTTTAAGCTCTTCTCTTAACCGATCATTACTTCTTTTGGTACAAAGCTAAACCATTATTTTCCCGCAAAAACAGTCCTCCTTTTTATTCCTATTATGTGAAATACTAAAATGTCAGAAGCATCTTTCCCCACATCCTTCACTTCCAAGGATCCTCCAAATTTTATCTTTGAAAATATTTTTTTTTTATAGGGGCTGGGAATTTAGCTCAGCGGCAAAGTGCCTGCCCAGCAAGCACAAGGTCGTGAGTTCGGTTCCCAGTACCGGAGGAAAAAAAAAAAAATTCTCGAAAATATTTTTTTAAGCTGGCTGTGGTGGGGCACACCTGTATTCCCAGCATTTGGGAGGCTAAGACAGGATGACTGCCACAAGGTCAAGGCCAAACTGGGCTACACAGTGAGTTCAAGACCAGCCTGAACTACACAGCCAGATCTTGTCTTAAAAAAAAAAAAAAAAAAAAAACTATGCACCCAAGAACCAAAATGGATAGATGTGATAAAAGCAAATGTAGAGTGCAAAATATAGAACCTAGGTGGTAGATATATAAGTATTCACTTAAAATTCTTTCAACTTTTCTGTACATTTGGAATTTTTATAATAAAATGTTAGGAAAGGATCTGTACATTTAGACATGGCTCAGATGCATGTGTTTGTTACCTCTCCTCTGGAAGTCCAACTGAGCTCCCCTCCTGATATAGACATCCTCCAAGATGACTCCCATATTCCCTGCCTCCTGGCCTCTCACACAGTACCACACTGTTCTAAGACAGGTCACAGATGGCAGAAGAGATGGTGTGTCACTTCCAAGATGAGATCCATAAGCGACTGCCACTCTGCCTTGGTCTGCTCTCTTGATGACTTGTCTGGGAAAAAATCACAAATCACTTAGGGGTCTTGTTAGCTCTGGGACAGAACCTGCATCTCCAACAAGTTCTTGCAGGACACACCTGCTGCTAGTCAGGGACCAGACTACTGGGTAAATGTACCTGCACTATACCTTCTTTTTGTTGTTGTTTTGTTTAGTTTTTTTAAGACAGGGTCTCACTGTGTAGCCCAGGCTGGCCTGTAACTTGTGGCAATCCTCCTGCCTCAGCCTCCCGAGTGCAGGGCAACACCATGCCCAGTTTGCAGTATACTTTCTAGACAGCTAACAGGGTAAGAAAACTTTTACTCTTCAAAGTTAAAAAAAAAAAGTTCCAGTGTGATGGCACATGCCTGTAATCCCAGAACTTGGAGGCTGAGGCAGGAAGATCCTTGCAAGTTCAAGGCAAGCCTGGGCTACAAAGTGAGCTCAAGGACAGCCTGAACTGCATAGCGAGACTGTCTCAAAAAGACAAAAAAAAGTTTAAAAAAAAAAAGGGAAAATGGCAGATTTCTACTTTTCCCCTGCCATATTTAAATATGTTAATGTAGTCAAATCTTTTTTGTGGTTCAATATCTCCCTTATGGTTTGTGCATGGATGTCCCCCAAAGCCTCATGCAGTCCTGGGACGGGCTTTTAGAGTTTATGATTGATTCAAGGTCCAATGTTGGAATTATGGATGTGAGTGCTACACCTGCCCTGGGGCTAGTTTGCATACAATGTAAGGAAAGGAAAAAGGCTGCTTCCAGCTGCCACTCCTCCAGCTGCCTTTGCTGTTTTCTGCCACCATGAACATTTGCCCTCTGCCATGTGCCACTCTGTCTTGGAGCCAGCCAAGTATGGACAGAAACCTCCACAAACTGTAAGCTAAATAAACCTTTCCTTCCTTCATTTTGGGCATCGGATATTTTGTCCCAGCGATGAGAGAAAAGTAACCAAGACAATCTCATTTAGCCAATTCTATACTGCAATGCCTCTTAAACATTAATATGAATTGCTGCATCAGGAAGTCTGAAAAGAAAACCAGATTCTGCATTTATAATGGATCTACATGAAACACTGAAGCATCTGGTCCTAAAGTACATTTTTTAAGCAGCAAGATTTTAAATTTTTTTTGTTTTTTATGTTTGATCTATTTGACAGTACAAAATCATAAAACATATTGAAAACAATAACTTTAAGACAATGCACATCTTTCGAAATGGTTTTCAACTGCTCTACAAGAGAGACTCGGGCTGGGAATATAGCTCAGTGGCACAGTGCCTGCCTGGCAAGCTCGAGGTGTTAAGTTCAACTCCTGGTTCCCCCCAAAAAAAGAGAGACCCATCCCATACTTTCAGAGTTTTAAAATCACCAACCTCAAAAATAAAGTACAAACTCCTCAAAATACCCATTACATACATCGAGTTTCATCTCCAAATGCCCCACACAGCTCCCTGCACAAGGCTGAAGTCTTAACTTCTCAAGTGTGTCTAACCTGTTCTTAACTCTACCCCAGAAAACACATTTTTGTTTTGATAACACAGCAAGTTCAACAGAAGTAAGTTAGCAATTCAGAGGCCCTCTCCTATTTCCCTTTAAGTGATCTTTCTTTAACTTCGGTATTTAGAGGCCAACCATTTCTTTCACCAAGCATGGAAAATATGAATCTTTCCTCGCACTGGTACACGTTTTTTCCTCGTACAATTTTTGAGATACAGTTAACATATAAAACCCACCCACTGGAAGTGTGGAACCCACTCATAATTCAGTGATCTTTAACATATTTATAGTTGTGCAATCATCACCACCAACTTGAGAACATTTCATCACCCCCAAAAAAGCCAAAACGAAACATGGTGGTGCATGCCTATAATCCCAGCACTCAGGAAGCTGTGGCAGAAAGACTGCTGTGAGTTCGAGGCCAGTGTGGGCTGTACAGTGAATGCAAAACCAGCCTGAACTACACAGCAAGGCCTCATCTCAAAAAATAAAGAAACAAACAAAAAACGCCACAGCTCTATAAGCTCCAGCCTGAACTACACAGCAAGGCCTCATCTCAAAAAATAAAGAAACAAACAAAAAACGCCACAGCTCTATAAGCTGCTCCAGTCCCCCAACCTCTGGCAACCACTAACATTCCTGTCTCTGTGAATATGCCTCCTCTGCCATTTCACATAAATATTGTACTGTGCACCAGTACTTCAAGTCTACCTGTGGCCAAAGGATATCCTATTGTATGAATATATCACATTTTGTTATTAATCCATTCGTCAGTTGCTGGGCATTTGGCTTGCTTCTACTTTGGGCTATTATGAATAATAACGTGCTATAAACGTGCATGTAAAAGTTTTAATTAGGACGTATTTTCAATTATCTTGCGTATACACCCAGGAGTGGATATATAATACTATGCTTATATTTTGAAGAACTGCCAAACTATTTTCCAAAGTACGGCGCCATTTTACAATCCCACCAGCAACGTATAAGAATTTCACTATTATATTTTCACCAAATGAGGAAGTTATATCTTTTGAACAAAAAGAGGTGTGCTTCCACGCTGTAATGATCGCTTCCTGCTAAGAATACTGAATTAACAAAAGAGAAATATACTTCTGGCTGGTGTACAGAGAATAGCATATTACAGGTCCAAATATATTGAGCAAGTGGGTTAACCTCTCAGCGCCTCCTTCTTTATTTGAAAATATGATGCCGTAATGACATGTACCTTGCAGTCCGTGACTGTTAAATGAAACAATGCGCGTAAAGATGCTTTTGGAACAGCTACTACTACAAGAGTCAATCCCGGCAAAGCTTTAGGGGCAAAGGGCTAAACGCCCTGACACCTCCCGCTCTTTCAGGCTTCTTCCCTTCGGGAGAGGTTGCTGAGTGACGACTAGGGCGGCAGCCACCCTGGCCACGCAGGATAAATTGCCACAGCTCGAGAAGAGCTGTCATTCCAGCAACAGCGCCCCGCACAGAGATCCGCAGCTGGCTACTACGTTAGGAAGTCAACGCAGCATCTTTTTCCCCCTTTTAATGGTAACACACGCATAGAGTGCCGAGCAAAAACGCCGGGGAAAGGAACACAAGCGCGTCCCCCGACCCGCCTCTTCGCAAACGCAAAAGGAAAACAACCAAGAAACCCAAGCCACGGCAAACCCTGGAGCTACAAACCCCCAACAGCCCTCGCCTCCTATCACCAAAGACCCCCTATCGGGTTCCCCTGGACAAACGGTGCAAAGCTCACCTGGTGGCTTCCAGCAGCTTGACCAGGCTCCGGCCAGGCGCCCCCAGAGGAATAGTAGCCATCGCCGCCTCCGCCTTCGGGCCAGGTGGTCTCCGGGCCGCCCCCGCGCACCCGCCACGAAATGGGGGGCTGAGGAGGTTCGGGGCGAAGAGGCGGATACATGGGTGGAGGGAGGTGCACGGGCACATCCCCACTCCCCGGCCCATAGAAGCGCCCGTAGGACGGGCCGTCACTGGGGCCGTAACCGGAGCGCCTCAGGGCAGACATGGGCTCCGCTGCCCAGAAGCGCTTCCGCCCCGCCCCCACGACCGGCCCATGGCGCAGGCGCTACCAGGCCAGTGGGACTGGACAGCAGTGAAGGGGGTTGGACTACAACAGCCAATCCCAGGCCCGGACCCGCCCCTCCCGCCACCGAGCCGGGAGAGTTGAGAGACCGCTACCCGAGTATCTAGGGCTTCGGAAGAGGACAGTGAGAGAAAGGGACCGTGCTCCTTAAACGGGAACACACATTTCCTAGTATTTATCCAATCTACATTCCTCCTCAGCGCTTATCAGGGTTGGTAGGACTGTGTACCCGGATGCATGACTGGCCCTCCTTTTCCGGGGGACGGACATGCGGAAACCGGAAGTAGGTGGGGGAATATGAAGGCGCTTCCGGCAGGCCTGGGCCGCGGCGCGCTGGGACTAACGTGCTGGTCTGGGTCTGGGTTCTGGTCCCGGTCCCGCCAAGGTGGCGACTGCGCCAAGGAGGTGTCAGAGGCTCTGGCCCACCTCCGCTATCCATTGCAGCCTCATCTAAGTGCAAAATGAATTATATGCCCGGCACCGCCAGCCTCATCGAGGACATCGACAGTGAGTAGCTCATCTCCTCCCGGCGAAGCCGGGGCGGCCCCTTCTCGGGCTGGCGCCACTTCTGAGGGAGCTCGTCGAGTGAGCCCCGGCCGGCGCTGTGCTCTGCGCCCAGAGCTGGGCGTCCGCGTTGACAGCCTCCGCCCCCGGCCTCCCGCCGCTGTCCCGCCCCTCGCAATCCATGCGGGTCCTCGGGCTGAGGAGCGCACTCTGTGGGATTCATTCTTACTGCCGAGGCTCGTGGCAGCTGAGGCCCGAACTCGAAGGTGACCCAGCCGACTTCTCTCGCGTCCACTGCCTCCCATCTGCAATATTTTGAAGTACCAGTACACACAGGAACAATTCATTACAAAAAAAACTACGAAAACATTAAGACAACAGCAGTTGGATTTAATTAGCAATGAACGTGGGTTTTCTGTTGTGTAACCATTTGCAAGTGCCTTTTATTGTGAGGGTCATTAGCATTTTCACGTTATGGCAGTGTGCCACACATGGTACTTTCTTAGAAAGGCTATGTCACGTCGAACTTTTTTTGTTAGATTATTTTACCAGGAAGACACCACCCATGTTCCTACTTACAGTGACTGTGCAGGTTAGAGTGAGTACGTTCACATTCTTATTTGGCAGTTACCTGAGATCATTAGTGTAATTTGGACCAGATACTATAACAACCACTTTATAAGCCTGTTTGTAAGTCATAAGGAAATAATACTTCAGTTGTTTGAGGGTGCCCTTTCCCCCACTACATCGGAGCTATTTGAAGCCTCTACCCCCTGGCCGGGTCTGTGGCTTGTTAGGAACCCAGCTGCACAGCAGGCGGTGAGCGGCAGGACCAAAGCTTCCCGTGTATTTACAGCCGCTGTCCGTTGCTCAAATTAGCGCTTGAGCTCCGCCTCCTGTCAGATTAGCAGTGACATTAGATTCTCATAGGAGTGTGAGGCTACAGTGAACTGCAAGTGGGAGGGATTTTGGCTGCGTGATCTTTTGGATTATTCCAAAACCATCCTCATGTAGTCCACCCACCCCAGGAATATTGTCTTCCAGGAAATTGGTCCCTGGTGCCAAGGTTGGGGACCAGTGCACTCCTCTAACCTGTACCTGTTTGTAGATTTTAAGCCCCTCCTTTATAGAAGAATTTAAAACCATTTGCTATATTGTATACCCTTCACTCCCCAACCCTACACACACGTACTTTCTCCTGTCTCTTCCATCTTTCTGTATTTTCACCCCCTCATTTGAATAAGAAGTAGTACTCCTTTTGTATTACTCTTCCGACTGTTTCTGGAAGCAGCTTCCATTAGTATCATTGTTTTTTCGTATCTTGTGTCTCCCTCTTCCCCCAGCCATCCCTCTTATATGTTACTGTCTCGAGTCGTTCCTTTTGACCACATCTCTAGACCACCTTAAAGAGCCCTCTTTCGGTTGCCCCTGTGATCTGATCTTTGCTGTCAGCACACTACTGAAGCTGTGTTCTTCAGTCATCAGTCTGAGACCCTCCTGTGAGTTTTCAGCTCTGTAGCATTGTGGTAGTATCACCACAGAATTCTTCATGCTGCTTTCTTTAATACTGCTTGCTGATTTTCTTATTTTGTGACTCTTACTGTTTCCCAAAACAGGTGGTCTGAGTTGCGTGTTTGGTCTGCTGCTTTTCTAAATCCCTAGGGGATCTCCTAGATGGACTTGAGCCTCATAACTGCTCTTGCTTTTCTGCTAGTGAATCTTGAGCATTATCTTGTTCCCTATGAAGTCAAAGCGAACTTCAGCCTTCCCCAGTACTGTTTTGTTTTGTTTTGTGAGAGGGTCTTGCTGTGTAGTGGAGCCTTGAATTCTCTACCTAGCCCAGGTTGACCTCAAACTTGCAATCTTGCCTCAGCCTCCCAAGTGCTAGGATTACAGCTGTACACTACCATGGCCAGCTCCCTCTGGGACTTTTCTGACTTTAACTCTTCTTGTTTTCCTTGATCCCTGCATCTTTCAGCCACATATATGTCTATATAGCCTGTTGTTATTGTTGTTGTTTTTTTTTGGGAGGGGGGGTTTTCCTCCGGTACCGGAACCGAACTCACGACCTTGCGCTTGCCAGGCAGGCGCTTTTGCCGCTGAGCTAAATCCCCAGCCCCTGTTATTGTTGTTGTTGTTGTTGTTGTTGTTTTTAACTTCTGCCTGATTTACAGATTTCTCTTCCCTTTCTCATGGCCAAAGCTTACTTACTTTTCAGGGTCCAACTCAGATACCTACTCCAGGTGGATACAGTTTCTCTTCCCAAAGTCTCATGTAATTAAGATTTATTTGCTTATGGCACTTAATTATAGCCCAAGGAAGACAATAAATTCCTTCAGGGGAAAAATCACTGCCCCTCTCTTCTATATCTAGAAAGTACTCTATGCATGACATTAAATAAATTAATGACTGACATTAAATAAATTAATGACTGACAGTTCTGACTTCTCCAATAACTGGCTTATTCTTGTCATTTAATCCTGTCTCACAGTTACCTCTGCAGAGAGGATTGCCCTTGCTACCCTGGCTGCTGTAATTACACCTGCTCATCTCATCATGCTGTCCTGCTACCTCTTTATTATTCTGTTGTACTGATCAGAATAAATAGTTTTCTTTTTCTTTTTTTGGAACTGGGAATTGAACTCAGGACTTCATACTTGCCAGGCAGGGGCCGTGCCACTGAGCTGTATCCCCAGCCCTAGGTAGTTTTCTTTTTGTCTTTCCTTACAATGAATATAAATTCCTAAGGTTGATTTCATGAATTTTCAGACCCCATAACAGAATATAATTCTCAGCAAATACTGAATTTTTCCTCTAGCATATTACTGTGTTCTTATTTTAAATGTCAGAGGCATTGTTTCTCTTTGATGCTGGGGATTGAATTCTGGGCCTTGACAGATGCTAGGCAAGGGTTCTACCACTGAGCTGCACCTCCAGTGAGTTTTTGTTTGTAAGTTTGTTTTGTTTTTTTGACGGGGGTACCAGGAATTGAACTCAGGACCTTGCATTTGCCAGGCAGATGCTTGTGCCACTGAACTATATCCTCAACCCTGTCAATTTGTTTTTGAGACAGGGTCTCACTAATGCCCAGGCCCACCTCCAACTTACAATCTTCCTGCCTCAGCTTCCCTGGTAGCTGGGATTACAGTGTATATCACCATACCCAGTGAAAGTATTTTAAATTGAAAGAAAACAAATTCTAGGATTAAGATCATAAAGATCATCTAGACTAAATTTCTCAATTTGCAGATATAGAAACCAAAGTGGCACTAAGAGGGTTTGTGTCAAATGTGAGGTCAGGTCGGCTGGGCTTCTTGGCCTTTTCTAACCCTGATGCACAATTCTTCTCACCATGGAACTCTACTCCAGTGCCTCGCTGCCATAGTACTGCTTCCACTTTCCCAAAGAACTGTGCCTTAACTACATCACAAGGGGAAGTGGTACAGCTTAATCTACTAACTTTATTGTTACTTTAAACTCACTAAAGCAGACAGGGTTCATTTTAAAGATCTTTTTTCCTCTCCCCAGAAAAACATTTGGTCCTGCTTCGAGATGGAAGAACACTTATAGGCTTTTTAAGAAGCATTGATCAATTTGGTATGTATTAACTATGGACTTCCCCTTTAATTCTCTAGATAGTAAGAGCCACCCATTGCATTTTTTTGTTATTTCATATTAAAATTTATCTGCACCTTTTCTACATGTGTCTAGCGTAATGGGACTGTGTTGAGTGAGTAAATCATTGTTTTCTACATTATGATTGGGTGATTCAGAAGCTTGTATATTTACAGGCGCATATTTCTAAGCTAGTTTTCACTACAGTGTTTTGGACTGTGTTTTATTTCCTCCATTAGAGGGAGCCAAATGGTAGAAATAAACTCAGTCCACTGCTCATTTGTATATTGGCTTGGGTGCTCCTGCTTGTCAAAGCACTTCTTGCACTAAAGGTAGTCTCTCCTCGTCCAGTGAAAAGTGGGCAAAAGGCATTTTCTGAAGCTTTTTATTAATGTTAAACTTGATATTTTACATATAGAGATCCAGCAAACTCAGGAATGTATATCTTTTGTTTTGCAGTCTCCATTTTTCTAAAGTTAAGACAGCTATGTTTCTTTCTGTTTTAAGAACTTCTCAGTTCACATCTACATTGTTAGGTACTTGTTAAGGTCACTAGTTTTGAGCATGGAAAAAGAAAGCAACATAATTGAAACACAAGAATTATAAAAGATAGCTGGGCATGGTGGTGTGCACCTGTAGTCTCAGCTACTCAGGAGGCTGAGGTAGGAGGGTCATTTGAGCTTAGGAATTTAAGCCACCCTGGCCACACAGCAAAACTTCTGCTCAGAAAAACAAGATATGATATAGGTTTCCGCTTTACTTGAAATAATACAAGTAATACTAATTGAAAGAAGAAAAATAATTACTCTTAACAGATTAGAGTTCTAAATCTTAAATTCATACAGTACTTTGATGTGTAAGGAGTGAATATTGAGTTTCAGATTACCGTGTATGTTTATCTGACTAGGTAGAAAAAATGTTTTTCCTGCATCATAATCCGTGGATATCTACACTAGGTTAAAGTCATATATGTGGAACAGAGAAAAGTCATTTCCTTCAAAAAAAACAGTTTAATTTTGGTGGTTGTTTAGCCACAGGTTTTCTAAATTCTTGTTCATATAGTCTTGTAGCCATCTTGATTATTAGCAATTACTCAATAAAGGAATTTGTATTTCAGAACTTATTTGTGCTATCATTCATGACTTAGTGCAACGTTATCCCAAGTACTCTAAGTTTGCAGTTCTTTAAAGCTTTCCTAAATGGAAAAAAAAAGATAAGAGCTGGGCATGATGGTACATGCCTGTAATCCCAGCACTTGGAAGCTGAGGCAAGAGGATTGCTGAGTTCTAGGCCACCCTGGGCTATAAAATGAGTTCAAGGTCAGCCTGAACTGCACAGTGGTGAAACCCTGTCTCAAAAAACAACAACAAAAAAAGATTTCCTAAATTGTATGTCTTACTCAGTGAAACAGAAGATTATTTGAAATTTTTGTTTTTCCCAGAATTAGAAAGTTTGGAAATTTTGTTTAGCAAAGTCTTGTCTTCTCAAAATGCCATAACTAAATAGTTTATGGACCTTTCCCCAATAATATGAACTAAATATCTTTGTTTCTTCCCTATGCACTTATAGCTAACTTAGTGCTACATCAAACTGTGGAACGTATTCATGTGGGCAAAAAATACGGTGATATTCCTCGAGGGATTTTTGTGGTCAGAGGAGAAAATGTGGTCCTACTAGGAGAAATAGTAAGTGAAAACTGTTAAGCTGCTATGGATCTTGTTATTCACGCTAGCTAGGTTTCTTTCTGTCTTTTCAAGAGGAAGAAAAATAATTTCCATATTTTATCTAGCTTCTCATCGGTACCTACTAAGTTAGGTAAACTACTAAGAATAATCAACTTTGTTCCAGTACTTTTTGGCATTTTAAATATTTTGATCCTGTTGGCAAAATACTGGTTTTACAGTATTTTAAAGAGTCTCATGCTCTACCAACTGAGCTAGCCAGGTACTAGTTTTAAAAGAATACATTAAGGGATGGGGATGTAGCTCAGTGGCACAGTGTCTGCCTGGCAAGTGCAAGGCCCTGAGTTCGATTCCCAGCACCAAAAAAAAAAAAAGAATACATTAAAAAATAACAATAAAAGCTGGGAACTGGGCATGATGGCATACAACTGTAATCCCAGCATTTGGGTGGCTAAGGCAGGAGGATCGCTAGGAGTTTAAGGCCAGCCTAGGCTCCATAGTGAGTTCAAGACCTTCCTGGACTATATAGTGAGACCCTGTCTCAAAATTTTTTTTTCTTTTAGCTGGGTATAGTGGTGCACACCTGTAATCCCAGAACTCCAGGAGACTGAGGCAGGAGGATCACACGAGCTCGAGGCCAGCCTGAACTACATAGCAACAACCTATCTCAAAAAAAGAATATTTCTTTTACATAAAGTGCTCATTAATACAGTGTTTCTGCTATCTCTAGTAGCAGAAAACTGAAGAAGCTTGATTTATGTATGTTGGGTTACAAGAGTATGAGTTACATACATTGGGGTAGACTGCAGCTGTTTAAATAAATTGGTTACAAGTAGTTCACCACATAAAGTCAATTGACTGTATTTGAGGGAAGACACATTTCGTATCCAGTGTATTCTTCATATTTTTAAAGAGGGCAGGTGGAAAGAATGGCTGTAGAAAAGCCCTTCTGTTACCTGGTGTGAGGATGGATCTCAGCTTCACGGAAATCCTTGGCTCACAACCAGGGGGCAAGGAGGTGTCTGGACCTGAGCCAGAAAGGCCAGCTGTCAGGTGGCAGGCTCTGACCCTTCTGAAGTATTGTCACTGTGGTCTCTGGTACTGTGTGTACACATGTACAAATTATTACCTTATTTAAACTTTCAACCAAGCCCTGCATCTTCTGATCGTTGGGTTTGCCAGGAAATTCAACATCAAAAATCCCTTCAGGAATCATTGAAATGAAGGTCTGGAATTGGGGCTGTAGAGCAGCAGCCTCACATGTGTGAGGCCCTGGGTTCCATCCCCAGCACTACAAAGATAAAAAGGGAGGCAGGGAGAAAGGACTGGTAACCAGTTGTTCTATTTTTCTTTTCTTTACCCAAAACTTTGGCATTTGATCTATTGTTTTTAAAGTTTTTAATACAGTTTCCCAATACCTAGCCATACCTTAATTCATTTTACAGAAATCTTTTTTGAGTAGAGTGGTTTAGTTTATAGCTGTTTTTTAATGTGGCATTTTGTAGTAGCTTAATTTAGATGTGATGAGTAGACATTCAGAACAGCCAGATAAAACAGTCAGATAAAAGAAAACCCACCTGGGCTAAGAGCTGATGCAAGAAGTTGAACTAGTGGGGCATTGTGGTGTATGCCTGTAATCCCAGCACTGGAAGGCTGAGGTAGGAGGATCACTACGAGTTCAAGGCCAAAATTTAGAGATGTAAAGGTAAACAGAAGAAAAGGCTAAAAACTAGGGTGAGAAGGCATCTAAGATGCCAGGGTGTGGTACTGCACAGGTGCAAGCTCAGCATGCAGGAGGCCAAGTCACAAGGATTGCCACAAGTTAGAGGCTAGCCTGGGCTACATAGTGAGTTCAAGGTTCAAGGCCAGCCTGAACTACATAGATGTCTCAAAAAAAAAAGGAGATAACCTTTCCTCCCAGAAAGATATATCATATTAGCTGACATCTCCCTAATCTCCTGGTTGGACTTGGAAAAACTGAGGAATGCAGAATCGACCAATTTCCTTTGAACTCCGTTTCCTGTGAGCCAGCTAAATAATTAATTTCCTTTAAACCCCAAACCCAAATCAGACCTGGTAGTGTACACTATAATCCTAGCACTCAGGAGGCTGTAACAGGAGAATTGCCATGAGTTGGAGACCAGCCTGGGCTAGTTAGTCAGTTCATGGTCACCTGTTTAAAATAAGTCCAAGGCCAGGGATTTAGCTGAGTGGCGCAGTGCTTGCCTGGCAAGTGTGAGGTCCTGAGTTTGATTCCCAGTAACCCCCCATAAATAAATAATAAATAAGTTTCATATATAAGGCCAAAATAAAGAAGGCACACTAGACTTCTTTCTCCTCTTGAGTATCCACCAATAGACACCTTAAATTCCTCCTTTTGTCTTCCAAAATTTATGCTTCAATTTTGGGAGACAAGTCAAGTTTATACAAAAGGAACTTTCCTTTTGAGACATGGAGGAGATAATCTGCTGAGGGTCAGCTTGGTCAGAAACTTTGTGTTGGAAACAGTGCCGTGGAAGTGCCTGGCCGCATCAGTTACTGCCCTACCAGCCCTGCCCAAGTGCTGCGGGGACAAGTCTAAAATGCTGCTTCTTATTTAGAAAATATGTTCGTGGTTGGTGCATTTGATTCAGTTAATCATTTTTTTACACTTGTTTAAGCAGCAGAAATTGCCATCTTATATGAAGGTTGAAGTAAAGCACATGCTACCCCAAGAAGTGGGGGCCAGCAAAGAACTGTAGTGTGGTCTCCCTGAGTGTTCGAGGAGCTCCCCACCTGTGCGTGCTGGACACATGGGGGGTTTTCAGTTGCTTTTTTCAAATTCAGGTTCTAGAGAGGATCATATTACTTTGCTATCAAGGGGAAAGACTTCACTATGTACGTGTGTGTGTATGTGTGTGTGTGTCAGTTTTGTAGTAGTGTACAGTTACCTTGCACGAAGGGTTATCTGGTGGGTGAGTGTGTGGGTGCCAAAAGGAGAAAGAAAGAAAACCTGTTTGTTCTTAAAGGTTCATTGTTTACTGGAGCTTCCTTGTATAGATTTTGTTGTTGTCCATGTGTTTGAACAGTATAAAGTTTTACAGTAATGTCACTGGAGAGACAGCTCAGGAATGCTTATGCAGTTCTGTGGATCAGAAGTCAGCATGGAGAAACTGTGTACCAACGCCAAGGAAACTTGCCCAGAAGTGGCTCACATTCCTGAAACATTGCATGGCCAAAGGGGCCCTGCATTCCACCTCAAGGATGATGATGCAGCATCCTTAAGTAATAAACCCAAGGTCGTGGGGCAGCAGCCCAACCACATGCATAGCTCAGCGGGTGACACATTACAGGGCCTGCAGACAATGCGTACACTAAGTGGAGGACACTGTCTTGCCTCACTGATAGCCCCAGGCCAGGGAGGTTTAGGAGATAATACAGTTTTGCTGACTGCTCTTAATTTTTGACCCAGGTCGGGTGGTCTAAGTCATCTGTGTGACTCCTTGTAGCACCTGGTGAAAGACCACCTGGTAAAGCCTCTAGACCTTGGAAGCATGTGACAGTATCAAGGCTGAAACATCTGCAGTTTGTCAATGTGTCAGTGCTGTCCCACACCTACAGAGGAAGGAAGAAATAAGAACACTTTGTCTGTATAGGCTGTCCATATTACAGAACAACAGAAAACACAGAATGCTACTGTATGTTTGTTTGTTTGTTTGTTTGTTTAGACAGGGTCTTGCTGTGTAGCTCAGGTTGGCCTCAAATTCACTATCTACCCCAAGCTAGCCTTGAGTTTGCAGCTGAGATTACAGGAGCAGGCCTTCACACCCAGCATGATGAAATTTTCTAGACTTGTTTCCATAGATGGGAGAAAAATCTGCTTACAATTTAGGTGTTCCTAATTAGTGCAACAGAGAAACAGTTTATTGCCATTAAAAAGGCATTGAATCTGTGTTCTCTACCTTCTTCCTAAGCGACAACTCTCAGAAATGAAGCTTTATATTTCAAAATATAAAACTTACTAGTAATTTACTTGGATTCTCTACTGTTAAGGAGGTAGCTTCCTATAAGCAGCTCTAATAATTTTATTTTAAAGGAAAGTTAATGCCTAACTAAAGTCACTCCTGGCTGCCATGGGATATCGGTTAAGCTGAGGCTTTGCCATGCACACTGATACTGGTCCTGTGACTACACTCAGGGCATGTGTCCTGCAGTGGTGTTGCCAGCTGTGCCTTTGAAAATGTGCCTGGCCGTAGGCCGTGCTATTTCCAACCCTGAGTCAGGAGCCCACGGGCCTTCGGAGGTGTAAGATTTCCTCTTCTCAGGCTTTGGGCGAAGCACTTCAGAGCTGCCTATTTTGCAGGACTTGGAGAAGGAGAGTGACACACCCCTCCAGCAAGTGTCCATTGAGGAGATCTTGGAAGAGCAGAGGGTGGAACAGCAGACCAGGCTGGAAGCAGAGAGGCTGAAGGTCCAGGCGCTGAAGGATCGGGGCCTCTCCATTCCTCGGGCAGACACTCTGGATGAGTATTAAGCGCTGGAGAGTAGGGGCTGTCATGGAAAGAAGGTGATCTCCTGGTTGCCTTCATATTTGACCAGAGAATTAGTTTAGTCATTTTTATTTTTAATGCTCTCACATGTGCAACATGAAGATATACGTGGGATTTTGTTTTGTTGTTTGAAATAACAAAATCATTGTTTAAAGGGACAGTGGCATGGACTCCATGCACACATCACCGTGGAGCCAGCATCGCGCCTTTGTATTGCTTTTCTTATCCCCAGTTAGAGTTTACAGAGGACAGTCTTCGTTTTCTTGTAAATAAAATATGAAGCTCAAAACCATCATCTTATTTCCCAGTTGGAGTCGCCGCCAGTGACCAGACAGAATCACTTGTCCACATCAGGGCTCACAGTTCCAAGTAGCTGACTGCATATGAAGGAGTGCTTTATACTGGTTATTTTAGGAGTCCTCCCTTCTGCCTTTCCATGTTTGTGTCTCAAACCATCAGGCTTCAGAAGGGGGCTTTCAGTTGAGTCTCCCAGAGCTAGTGACAGCAGACACCGCATAATTGATAAGCAGCATCACACCTGCTTCATCTCTAAGCTATTCCAGGTTCCCATGAAATTTAACATTTTCCTGAAGTGGCTTATTCTTGGATCCTTCTAATAATTTAATTCCCTTTCCTAGTCCTTGCATTGGGTCTTTTTTTGACACAGGATCTCACTGTGTAGTTCAGGGTGGCCCTGCACTCACTGTGGAGCACAGGTTGGCCCCAACCTTGTGGCAGTCCTCTTGCCTCAGCCTCTTGAGTGCTGGGATTACAGAGTGCTACCATGCCCAGCTTACATCGGGTCTTGAGCCTCTTGCGCTGTGATTTTTTTTTTAAATGGTGTTTTAGGCACTGACAGCCTGGATTGATACCATTTTGTTGGTATAGAGTAACAACTATATGTTAAGTATAACAGGCTACTGGCTTTTTTTTAAAGAGTACTTTTTTTTTTTTCTGAGACAGGGTCTCACTATATAGTCCAGGCTGGCCTCAGACTTGCCGTACTCCTCCTGCCTTAGCCTTCCAAGTGCTGAAGTTACAGGCGTGTGCCACCATGCCCAGCTTAAGACTGCTTTTTAAAGCAGTGCAGTTTAGCCAGGCAACAGTGGTGCATGCCTGTAACCTGGCTATGTGGGAGGCAGAAGCAGAAAAATTGAAAGTTCAAGGCCAGCGTGGGCAACCTGGAAAGACCCTGTCTCAAAAATAAAAGAAAGGCTGGGGTGCAGCTCAGTGGTAGAGCTCCCTTGGTTTGATCTCCATTACCACCAAAAGATAGGTGATAGGTAGATAGAGAGGTGGGTAGGTAGATAGATAGATCAGTTATAGACAATGCACTGCACAGGGAGTGAGGAAACTCCTGACTTGGTTTCTTGGCATGTTGCGTGAGTAAATCATACTCCCTGATTCTTAGTGATTTTTTTTTTATTCTCAGTAACTTTGTGGGAGGGAGTTTTTGAGACAGGGCCTCATTACTCTCTTTCCCTGAAAATAAAACCCAGCTAGAAATTAATCAGCCTTAAAAACTAGAGATCAAAAATGCCAGGCCTGGTGCTGCCCACCTGAATCCCAGCACTCAGGAAGTTGAGGCAGGAGGATCACTGAGAGTTCAAGGCAGCCTGGGCTACATAGTGAATTCAAGGCCAGCCTGGACTGGATAGCGAGACCACGTCTCAAAAAATGCCAGCCCGGCCAGGCTGTCTGTGCCTTTCCCAGCATCACTGTTGTTCGTTGGCTGCTCTGCAAGGCAGGTAGGTGAGGAGAGGCTGTCAGGCATTTTTGATCTCTAGTTTTCAAGGCTGATTATTTTCCAGCTAGGTCTGATTTTCAGGGAAACATGGTGTGTAGTCCAGGCTGGCCTCAAATGTGCAACCATCCTGCCTTAGCCTTCCAGCCCACTGATTGTAGGAGCATGTGCCACCAGGCCTGGCTCCTGGTTCTCAGTAACTTTAACTAATTTTTCTAGGTATTTTCTTTTTATAATTTGTTGTGCAAAGATGTCCTTTTCATAAGACTTATATCTAGTTTGTATATGTGTGAGCTATTTTATACTGTAGTATTAAATACACTTAACAGTTTATGAGCTAAGGTATTGTTTTTGTTTTTTAAGACAAGATCTGACTGTGCAGTTCAGGCTGGCTTTGAAGTCAGTATGTCGCCCAGGCCAGCCTTGAACTGGAGGCGATCCTCCTGCTCGGCCTCCCAAGTACTGGGAGCATGGGTGTGCGCCACTATGCCCAGCTTTTAAATATCCATCAAATAGCCAGGCATGGTGGTGCTCTTGAGGCTGAGGCAGGAGGAACACTGCAAGTTCTAGCCCAGCCTATAGCGAGAGCCTGTTTTTTAAAAAGCCAAAAACAAGTAACTATCTATCAAGCAATTCTAAATGTAGTAAGAGTTATGACGTACAAGAGGGTGAGAACACTTACGTCTGTTAACTTTAAGCTACAGCAATGTTTCCGTTATCGTGCACCCTGTGTTGCACAAGACCTGCGTCATGCAGCTGCCAAGAATGAAGCCTCGAGCCCGAAACTGCTGTGACGCCTGCTCCTTCCTCTCCGGGCCTGGCCACTCGGCTCTGTTGGCCTGGCCTTTGCACACACGGAAACCTGGTGCTTTCTTGCAGACCACAGCCACGGGGACTGTCTTCTCTTCCTAGAGCTCGGATCCATTCCACTTCACACTGAAACTTTCTTCCAACTGAGGCTCCCATGAAACAGCTTTCAGAGGAGAAAAATCTACCTAGAGAAATAGGAAAAGAGCTAAGATACATTCTGTGCAGTACAGGTACCAATTCCCTATGACGAATGTGAGCACTATGTATGACAAAACGTACTAATAAAAATTTTTTTAAAAAGAAAATCTAGCAGAGCCCCTTTGTGGCCCTCTTGATTCTGAAGTAACAGTGTTCCAGCGGATGCCTTCCAGTTGTTCTTTCCCCTCCTTTGGCCTTTGACTTTCTATTGCTCAGCTGTTCAAGCTGCAGTACCCCCCACCCCCGCCGCCAGTAAGTCCCAGTGGGCCTTGGACACTGGAGCCAGACACACTCAGGCAGCCACTGCAGAAGCTGCTGGGGAAGCCACCAGGTCAGGGCAGATCCCAGCCAAGGGGGAAGAGGAGAGGGAGAAGGGCAGCAGGGCTCATGGCAGCGCACAGCCCGCAGCACTGCTGAGCCTGTGCGGCCAGACCCCCACTCCACTCCTTGCCCTCTGTGAGAGTCCCAGCGGCACAGCTTGAGAAATGGGCCCCAGGAACGGTGCCTGTGAAGAGAATAGAGCTAAGCCAGTTACTGGAGCGGTTACTCATTTGCAAATGGAACCCCTGCGGGGTGTGTTCTCCCCTTTAGGAAGGTGCACTCCACGCTCACACTGAGAAGCCAGAATTCCCAGTGACGCATAGGTGCTGCTAGTTGATGCTCAATGCTAGGCCACCCTCAAGTTTCAAGTTTGAGGAAAAACTAAAACCAGTCAGTCCACTCATCATCAAGGAAAGTGTAGCCTAGTCTGAGCTGTTGCCTCGGAGTGACTGTGAGCTGACAGAAATGCCGCCTGAGACACAAGCTCATAGACGAATGCACAGCAGCACACAGGGCTCCTGAGGACCACGCCCCAGCAGTTCTTGTATCTGGGAGAGGGAAGGTTTTTGCCAGTGAGGTGAATATGGTCAACCTAGTTTAAACCCATACCGTGACAACTAGGTCAGGAAATAAACTTAGTGGTTTATAACCAGAATGTCTTTGCGTTGGAATAGGACAGAACAGAGTGTAGCATATATAACAGAGAGGCTGTGTGTGAAATGTGTCATATGCATGTATGCAGGTATTGGCAGCGTACATTTGTGACTGAGTGTACCTGTCAGAAACTTTTGAAAAACAGTCTTAGTCTGTGGTAAGTGTTTATGTTTATTGTACCTAGGAAAATAAAAAGTACAGTTTCTTGTTAGTACATGGGCACAGTGCATGATGTCTGCCCTCCCTTTGTGGGGCTGTGCACATGCGTAACAGCTCCATTCCCTCTCATCCGTTCCCTCCCCTCCCTGCCCTCTCCCTCCATCTCTTGACCCCTTTCCCTTTTGAGAAGGCACTGTCTCTCTATTTCACATTACCTTCTGTTTTGCTCTTCATTTATAATTTGAGTTTCCTGCGTAAGAGAAACAATGTGCTATTTAAGCTTGTGTGTCTCATTTAATTCACCTAACATTATGGTCCATGGTAATTTTTTTTCAATCAGATTTTATTGGTATAATGTAGATATACATAATAATCACATTCATCATAGAGAATTTATACCTGTACATGATTAACTTGATTCCTTTTCCTGTCCCCCATCCCCTTCAACCCCTCCTCCCCTTCCTATTTACAAAAGCTTTGTTTCCATGTTTTGTTTTGTTTTTTCACTTTTCCCTTTCCTTTCCTCCTTGCCCCCTCCTTTGTATCCCTCCCAATTTGAACCTTTTCCTCCTATTTCATAATATCTAATAAACATTTTGGTCCTTGTTTACACTTTTGGTTTCTCATACCAGAGAAATAATATGGTATTTATACATGTGTGTCCAATTTATTTCACTTAAGAGTATGGTCTCAAGGTGCATCCATTTACCTAGGAATGTGTCAAGTTTATCCTTCTTTATGGCAGAGTAATATTCCATTGCATTAAAAAAAACACATCTTTATCCATTCACCAGTTGATGGGCATTTGGGCTGTTTCTAAGATTTGGCTATTACAAATTGTGCTGCTGCAAACATGGGTGTGTATATATTGCTATGATACTTTTAATTCTTTCAGGGAGATACCCAGGATCCTGTGATAATTTTTACAGCTTTCCTTTCAACCCCTGAAACTCATCACTGCCCTGGATGAGGCTGAATTTGTCTTCCTCTGTGCTTAATATACACTTCCCCCAGATAACTGCATGAATCCTTTCCACACTATGAAAACCTCTGCTCAAATTTCACCTTCTGTCACCACCTCTTTAAAACAGCACCCCTGCAGCTGGTGGTGGAGACCAAGGGTGCGGTGCTTGCCTGGTGTGTGTGAGGCCTTGGTTCCATCCAACACACTGCCCTGCCTTTTTCCCCTCCAGCATTACTTTTCACCCTAGTGATGATCACTGTCCTACTTAAATTTCACTGGTTTACTGCCTGCTCCCCTCTCCTCTAAAACGTAAACCTCCAGGGATGCGTCTTGGTCTTGTATCTCCAACATTTAGAGCAGTGCTGGCGAATCTATCGCACATGGGCCAAGTCGTCCCAGCAGCCAAGCATTAGATAACAGTGAACAAAGGGGCAGTGTTGGCA